AATTTAGTTGAAACCAACTTATTTTACAGTGGTACCTTCACACTACTTAATTAAGTTGATCCAACTCATGAAAATTAAGTTAGTTCAACAAACATGCTTCATGCTGAAAGAAAGCTATGTAATCGTGTGGAAATCCTTTCCATGATTGAATTACGTTAATTCAAAGACATATTTTTAAGTGCTACTAAATTAAGTGTTTTAAGACCGCACTGGCTGTCAGGGTAGAAAGAACACTCAACAATTAGAAAGGGTATAACAGAACTGTATTTTCAAAATTGTTATCCATTTTCTTTACCATGTGCAGTGCAGGCACTTTACTACAAAAGTCTAAACTCTTACCATATGGCAACCCATTTGAACATCTATTCAAGCTAGTTTCAATTAATAGTTTAAACAAAACCTTTTATGTCAGTGTTTAATTAGTAACAAGAAACTTCAAAATAGTTCAGCCTACCACAGGCACAGATTTTAAATTTACAAGATTCAACGTTTTATTTTAACAAAATGATATACTTAGCATAACATAACAGTCAATAACCACACAGGAACCTGGATGAAGTCTGCCATGGCATCTGAATCCTGTGGATAATAAGAAAAGTACAAATTAAAAAAAGAATGAGGTGAAAATTTTGATTTTCTTGTGCACAACCTCTGACAAACAGAATTATAATACATACAAGAGACATTGTACAACTCTCCTCCATCGTTGTCGAGGAAAACTGAGAGACATCCCAGAGTAGAGGTCCTTATGGCAACAGCATCTTTGGTCTACAAGTAGGAAAAACAATAAAATATTCCGAAGAAAACTAAATCACCATCCATCCATCCATTTTCTGTACACCCTTAATGGGGTCGGGAGGTGCTATTGCCCATCTCCACCTAACATTCTGGGTGAGAGGCGGGGTACACCCTGGACAGGTCACCAGTCTGTCGCAGGGCAACACAGAGACAGACAAACAACCATGCACACATACACTCACACCTAAGGCCAATTTAGAGAGGCCAATTAACCTGACAGTCATGTTTTTGGACTGTGGAAGGAAACCGGAGAACCCGGAGAGAACCCACCATGCACAGGGAGAACATGCAAACTCCATGCGGAAAGACCCCAGGCCAAACTAAATCACATTTTTTCAAAATAAGTGGCCTAGAATAATTGTTCACCCTTATTTGTTGTCTGACTAAGACAGGTTAGAATGTTGATGGTTGTACAATTAAAGGAGCAACTGTAATTTTCCAACCTGCTACCAAAACACAACTGGTTTTGTCGAGCATGAAGTTTATTGTACAGGTGTGAAGAAGATTAATGTGCAGTGTGCACAACAAGATATAGATAAAAACTTTGCAGAATTTCCTTCCTTAAACAAAATCACGACATAATGCTCACCTTTCTTTCAAACTGGACCAGAATCTTGGGAAATGCATCGTCAATCACTCCTCTTCGGCCTTGAAAGCAACACGAGAGATCCCACTTTCTACTCTGGCAAACTCTGCAAAAACAGTAACAATCACACCTAGCTCTGGAGGAATTTTGCTGATAGACCTATCTATCAGTAAAATTACAACCTCCACTGATTTTGGGGGGGGGGGTGTACAATTGGGCATTTTATTCAACATAAATACATAAACAAGCACATAACTTTCAAATAAAATACCCATTTTGTTAATATAAAAATGATGTAAGTACTGACATGAAGAAAATGCTGAGCAATCATGCTCAGATTTGCAAAAACATCTGCTCATATGTTGCAGAAGTCTAAGAATCTAATGTTTCCAATCAATGAAGTCTATTTCTTAATGCAAAGTCAATCTACTCAAGTATATGTAGCATTACCTATTAGGTACTATTATTGATTATTGCTTCTATTAATAAAAGTAAAAAACAGTACAGTGCCCCCCAAAAATGTTACTCAAGTAAATGTAACCACTACTACCCAGCTCGGAAGATGGTTAACAAAACTAGTAGCCTATTCTTGTTAACTAGCTTTTAGTGTTAAATTTAGAGGTGTGCCGATCGATCGGCCACCAATCATAATCTGCCAATTTCTGTGAAAAAGTGTGTTATCGGTGATCACTGTCTCTTGCTGCCGATCACACAAACTGATCACCTGCATCTCATTTCAAATCAACCTGTACCCATACTGTATATGCGAGTAGTAAAAGCATACATGTCACATAAAAACATACTGAAAACGAATAACTCACCTTTAGCGAAGCTCTGTTTCTTCCAGTATTTAAGTCCACAAACATTCTAGAAGCTTCCCTCACTTTACTGCGCATGCGCACTGCTGAGCTGACGCATTTATTCCAGTAACGAAAATATTCAAATCCAGTTTACTCAAAATAACTTAGTCTTGTACCTTTCTCAGCACAAACATGTAAATTACTCACATTACTTGAGTTGACTAAACAGTTTAGTGAGATGCAAGTAAAGCATACAAACATAATTTAAGAATAGGTATTGCCTTTTACAGTGCACGTTTCTAGATTTGTACAAACATCTGTTGTTTAATGTAATCTCGCTAGCATCTCGCGTGATCTCCTGATCTCGCAAGGCCCTCTTCTGCGGGAGATCACTCTGATTAAATTGAATCACGTTGTCTCAACTTGAATTCATTTTATTAATGCTAGGTTGTTAAATTTTATGTTTATCTGACATGATTTTATCACGTTTGCCTTTGAAACATAAAATTATTTTGGTAAAACATGTTTTTTTGAAAATGCAATGACCACCTCAATTCAGTTTTTTGACACAAGCATGGAACAAATAGAAAATTGTGCAAATGATAGAGAAAGGCTGATTAATTTCCAGCTAACCTTCACTTCACGTGATGTTAGCACATGTTAGCCACTGACTTGAGTACATAAATTACATAGAAACGTGACCAAACATAGCAGCATTGTGCACATATATATAACATATATATATATATCAGTGACGTGCAGTGAGGTTCATTGCTGGTGAGGCACTTACTTATGACTTAGACACCATGTATGTTATTGGACGTACGGAAATTTCGCGCAGGCATACAATGCTGGAGGGCAAAAAGATTTTGTGCTATGATCCACAGCAGTGA